GGGGTTCCTGAACTCAGCCACTGATCAGTTTCAGTAGCGGCTGACAGGGACACCTGGGGAAGAGCAGCTGGGGTGCTGCCCGGTTGGTCCCCGCAGCGCTGCCCCTGCGGGGACCTACCCGGCAGCGCCCCAGCTGCTCTGTCCTAGGTGTCCAGATTCAGCTGCTGTTGAAACTGATCAGCGGCTGATTCCAGGCAGCCTGGGGCAGAGTAACTCTGCCTTGGGCTTCCTGTAGTCAGCCACTGGTCAGTTTCAGCAGTGGCTGAATCTGGAAGCCAGTTCCAACTTACATACAAATTCAGCTTAAGAACAAACCTACAGTCCCTATCTTGTACGTAACCCAGGGACTGCCTGTACATGTATCTTACTTTAAAGAGACTTTAACACCAGGCTACAAAGGGAAACCTCAGAACTGTTATTTATGCTTAAATTTGACACTTTACAAATGGGCCTTTACAAAGATAGCTTCCCCAATTATCATCCCTAGTATCTCAGATACTAGCCCTCCCCCCTCAGCCCTACTTCTGTTCTAAATCTGACTTTGTGTTCACTTTTTTTGTCCATTGTATTTGTTTGGTATATATGGTCAGCCCCATTCTCTTCCAGAATTTGATCTGAGGAAGTGGGTCGGGCCCATGAAAGCTCATCACCTAATAAACTATCTTGTTAGTCTTTAAAGTACTGCATACTCTTAGATGGGGAGATAATTTGGTTTTTGTAATATAGACATATTCCAGTCTCTGTTGGCTGCATTATTAAAACAGGAAAGTCTTAAATATGTAACTTGCCTACAAAGAACGCAAGCAGTAGGCAAAATGTGTAATTAAAATTCTTTAATTCAAATTGTACACAGTGTAGGGACACTATGCACAGTTGCACATTTTCTTGCACAAATGCATGTACATCAACATTAATAAATTCTATCAAAATACTCTGAGGCATTCTACAGGCAAAGTATTCAACCCTTTAGAAATCAAAACCTCTTCTCCCACAAAGAATATTAAGTTTCAGTATTGTAAGTGAACCTAGGAGTACTAGAGTTCAGGCTTCAACCTAAACTTTTTCACACTCTGCCACCACCATTTGTCCTTCAACATTTGGCACAACACTAACATGTTAAAACTTTTTCTGCACTTAAGAATATCCTTGTTTTAAAACAGCAGTGGCAGAAACTGAACTAACTAACACATCAGATGGCTGCTAATCAAATGAGAAGTACATTTTTAAAATTTAGAAAATATAGTTATTTCAAAGTTAAGGACAATGAGAGTTGATGAGTGTTAACACTTATCCAACATTCTATAACTGTGCCTTTCACTTTATTATGGAATATTTCCACAAATCCATACTGCTTAAAAACAGTCATGGCACCTTTAAAGTACATTTATCAGGAGTGCATATTTTCCATTATCAAAATTGCACAAAGGTATAAAACAAGCCTCTAAACTTTACTGTTTGGATCCTACTGAAAGAACCACTCTACCTCTCCTTGGAAAGGGTATTTAAACATGCTGTCATTCATTTTGTAGGCAGGTAGTCTTCAATAATGTATTTCACTATTTCAGTTTAACACACAATGCACATTCTCTCTGGTTCTTTAGAACACTGGTGAAATAAGTTTATTTTTCAAGTTTGGAAAAGTCTGGTCCCCCTTTGCTATAGTTTCCAGAAATTTCTGCCCCACTGAAGTCAAAGCCAGGATTCTGTATAGAGATAAAAGATTCATATAAAGGTTAATATTCAATATATTAATGTATAAATCAAATTTTGTTAATGCTCTTCCAAACTAATAAAAGCACACAACATGATGTTCCTAGGAACATGCATAGTTGAAATTCTCCAGAGAGTGAAAAAATTGTGTACACATGCATCAGTAATTACAAAGGCCGATTGGGATTTAAGTTAGTAGCTTTCCCAGCTGCAGGCGTAAATTTGCAGGCTGTTGCCACCCCAAATTTAAGAGAGCTTGATTTCCATATCAAGAAAATATTGTAAAAGTTTTTAGGAAGTGAGGTTAAATATTACAGTTATTAACGTTTACAGTCTCCCTTTGTTATCTGAAAGAGGAAACATAAAAATGGCCATACTGGGTCAGACCAAAAGTCCATCCAGCCCAGTATCCTGTCTAAGGACACTGGTCAGTGGCAGGTGCCCCAGAGGGAGCGAACCGAACAGGTAATGATCAAGCTATCTCTCTTGCCAGCCATCTCTACCCTCTGACAAACAGAGGCTAGGGACACCATTCCTTACCCATCCTGGCTAATAGTCATTAATGGACTTATGAATTTATGAGTGAATGACTATTTATCTAGTATTTTTTGGACCCTATTAAAGTCCTGGTCTTCACAACATCCTCTGGCAAGTAATTCCACAGGTTGACTGTGTGCTGCATGAAGGTAGGCATCCTTTTGTTTGTTTTAAACCTGCTACCTATTAATTTCATTAGGTGACCCCTAGTTGTTATGTTTTGGCAACAAGTAAATAACTTTTCCTTCTTCGCTTTTTCCAAGCCAGTCATGATTATGATTTTATATACTTCTATCATATCTTAGTCTCCTCTTTTCGAAGCTGAAGAGTCCTAGTCTCTTTGATCTCTCCTCATATGGGACCCGTTCCAAACTCCTTATCATTTAGTTGCCCTTCTCTGAACCTTTTCTAATGCCAGTATATCTTTTTTGAGATGAGGAAATCACATCTGTATGCAGGATTCAAGATGTGGGCATGCCATAGATTTATATAAAGGCAATAAAATATTCTCAGTCTTATTCTCTATCCCTTTTTCAATGATTCCTAACATCCTGTTTGCTTTTTTGACTGCCACTGCATGGATGTCTTCAGAGGTCTATCCACGATGACTCCAAGATCTCTTTCCTGATTAGTTGTAGCTAAATTAGCCCCCATCATATTATATGTATAGTTGGGGTTATTTTTTC